CTGACACAACCTTAAGCCTTGCTCAAGGCATTGTTTTCTCAAACCTCGAAGATTGTTTGAGTTCACGACGTTCTTTTCATGGTCAGAATGGCTTATAATATGCATTTTATCATGGTAATATGCCTACATGCTAGTCAAATGGTTCACCCTTAGCTATAGAAACTATTTATTCCAATGGATTTTTCTTGTGCTGTACGTGTCTATGGATCACAAGGAAAACCTTCATTGGCCCAATCTTTTGGCTTCTCTCTCTCTCTCATGTTCATTTTCCTTGTGACTAAAATTGAGAAAGTTGATGTTTGTGATTTTCCAAATTGTAACAGCCTCTTTTTCTAATTCTAACTGAAATTGAGAAAGTTGATGTTTGTAATTTTGCAAATTGTAATAGTCTCATTGTCTAAAAGAATGCCCAGAAGTATCCCTAAGAGCAAGAATTTCTAAGACTGCACGAAATCTCATGCAAAAGTTTGCTCAAGTCATGTCGAATCATTATGTGGATCATGTGTTCCGATGTTAGTGCAGGTATGGTGAAAGCTTCTCTTTAACATATTGTCTCTCAGGCTTCAGCTTAGTAGTAGAGATTTCAGTTTGGGCGAGAAAGGTCAAAGGTTAAAACCTCTGAAGTCTATTCCGAAGAGCCCAAGCAAGCTGACCTAGCCTATTATTTTCTTTCTTCAGCTGTGATGGTTGTCAGGAAAATAAATTGTTAAAAGATGTATATGTGTGTGTATTGTTTTCTTCAACTGTGATGGCTGTCAGGATAATAAAATTGATGTTGTTAAAAGATGTATATGTGTGTGCATGCTCGAATGGGATTGAAAAGAGAGAGAGCAGGCAAGGGTGCCATTATTCTGTTTTAATGTCTAAATAATGTTATTAATGCTTTATCTTTACCTGCCTCCATGGGCACCTGTGAATATTGGCATTCGTGATTCGTGCGAAGCAGGTTCTACAGTATCCCACACACAGGAAATAGTAGTTTTCCTTTCCTTTCTGGAAGCTAATGGGAAAACCTCGTTATTGATCACATTTTACCAATAAATAAGGTTGCCGAAGTTGCACCTGTAAATAAATCTGGTTCCTGCGAGTAGATAGGATTGCATTCCTAGTGTTGCCCATGAATAGTACGATGTGTATGCCACCCGATCCGGCTCAACGTTAGGAACCATTTGATATTCAAGGCAATCCATCAAAACAACATCAACATATAAAAAATATGTCAATAAGACATTCATATTCAAGCACCCAAATTCTTCTGTTGTGGTAATATTTGAGCTAATAACTATAAACTTTGCCACTTCCAAAATTATTTCTGTTGACCACATTTTTTTCTGCTCACCAAGCAAAGGAAAAAGGAACCAAAATGTACTTGAGTTAAGACATATTGCACCTAGAAATTAGAAAAAGTTAAAGACATATTGCACCTAGACATATCCTGGTTTCAATTTTATCTGTGGAAACATCTTAGGGCAATTTTGCACCAGTAGATCCAATTGGTGAGGCAGTCACCATTTCAAGTATGGAAGGAGAGATACCAAATGACTTTCTTGAAGGGGTCTCCATCAGAAATGGTTTGTAAGCCCGTACATAGTGGGTCCTAATGTCTAAGCTTGTCATTTTCCACCTTTCTCATTACTGTATACACAAGCCCTAATCCTTTGTTCAGGGAAATGACAGCCATAGAATCAGACTATGGAAAAGCAAGCTCTCTTTGTGTAGAAGGTGATAGAATGGTCCATGTATTGTATTTCCACAAGGACATGAAAGGCAGCTGGAACCTTTCATAAATGAATAAATAAATTGAGCCTGAGTCCTTTATTTTAGAGAGAGAAGAAAAAACTCTGCAATGATAATTGGTGGAATCCTAAATGAGGCAAGACATCATAACACTACACCTAAGAGATGAATACTTAAAAATGAGAACAACACAAAAAGACAAAAAGAAGAAATTTAATACTCAAATGAGAACTTCTCATGCATAAATATAATCCTTATGTGCTCTTAATTTTAACAGAATGGTATGGCAAGCATTATCGAGATATGAACAATATTAACGTGTTTGAACCTGGAGGAAAGGTCTTCACAGTCAAAGAGATTCACCTGTTATGACATCAATGTCTCGAGCATAGACCCTAAGGGAGAATGGGATGTTAATGGAGCATTGGATCTTCCTGTTACGTGTCATACAAAGATATTTATGGGAAAAAGCTTTAACTTTTCTCTATAAGATTTAAAGATACACTACAGAATCTTACGCCTGTGTGTGATGTATTTTACCAGAAGGATCCACAACCTGGAGAGTTGGTTGTATTAGGAATAGAGTGGAAAGGCCCCATTGCATGCATTAGGATGATATCAGGTACTTGTTACACTGCAAGTTGACAAATCATGCTAGCTTTGTGCTTGTGCTCTTTTCATGAAAGCAAGTGCATACATCTTTTCGAGGTCTCCCATGACAGTAGTAAAATCATAGTGCTACCTGACTTTTTAACGGTTTCCTCTCTCTCTCTCTCTCTCTCTCTCTCTCTCTCTCTCGTACGTACGACGTAGACGTACGACGTACGTACGTAAGTAACGTAACTAACTAACTAACTAACGTAACGTAACGTAACGTAAGTAACGTAGTACGTACTA